TTAAACCGTTCCATACCACAATACAAGTATATACTGGGAATGAATAATGAAGTAGTAATGGCAGCCTGGTGGGAGCCAATTTTCTCACTTTTTGGCAGTGGAAGTTACAATAAAAGGGAGAAAGGCCCAGATGATCCATATTAAGTAATTTAGATCAGACTTGGAAGACATAAGTAGAATTTTATGTTTAGCTTGATAATATATGATTTGCCATATAGAAATATTATAAGGAATGTAAGATAATTCAAGGTTAGTATACAAACATTTATTTTCCGTTGCTGGTGTCAGCTGAGGAGGGCTCACAGACACAAGGACTCCAGTAGCAATGTAGTATGCCTAGCTCCCAGGATTTGGTTTCTAGTGACAATTTTCTCCAATAAAAGGGGCCAGGACCTTTAGGAATGCTGATTATAGGACCAGGACAGGAAATTAACAGAGATGAACCTGGAGCATTCCATGTAGTGCCAAAGGAAGTGCTAAAATTGATGGGGGTATCGTCAGAGGGACAACAAGAGCAGCTAAAAGAGTCCCAATTGCCAAAGCTGGAGGAATGAGATAAGATATTTTGAGATTATAATCCAAAGTATTAAATAATATCCATGAGGTTCATACGATATAAATGATTGAATTAATAAGTAATGGGGGAGAAGAGAGGACATTCTTCATGGGCAAAAGGAATTCCAAAAATGTATGTAGACAGTCAACCCTCAAAGGAAGTTTGAGCGTAACTCCCCTACTCCTCTAGACTGAGGGCTGTTGCATAGTAACTTCTCTCCCCAAAGAGTACAGTTTATGGAAAGGGAAGAAAAATAGTAACTTTACGGGGAGATACCTAACAACACTACCCATCAACTAGCGTGATTAAGACTGCATCAAACAAGTGCTAAAATCAAGTTGATTAATATTCTCGTTGAATGATGTGGATGAAAATGGCACTTTACCCTATGGATTTCCTGCCCTCGCAAGAACATACTAATCCCGAGTCTAATCATGGAAACATCAAGGAGAATACCAACTGAGAGACTTTTCTGCAAATACCGAATCGCGCTCCTTAAAACTATTAAGGTCGTCAAAACACGGAAGTCTGAGAAATTGTCACGCCAAAAGGAGCCTTAAGGAGAATTGGCTTAATAAAATTTACTGTAGACCCTGGATGAGGCTTTCTGGAACAGAAAAGGGCGACAGTAGGTAAAAACTATAAGCGGAATCTGAATAAACATGGACTTTGTAGTTAGTAAACATATCAATATTAGTTCATTAATTATACAATTGAATTATACGATGTTGTTAATAATAAGGGAAATTAAGATATTGGGTATGACAATGCTCTGTATTATCTTAGAAATTTTCTGTAAATCTAAAACTCTTCTATGTAAGGTATATTTTCTTAAATGGAAAAAATTGAATTAGGATGTTTCACCAAAAAAGAGATACATGAATGGCTTAGTAAGGTTCCATGAAAAGATGTTTAATTTTATTAGTCATTAAGGAAAATGCAAATTAAACATAATGAAAACATAAACACCCTCACTTGAATGGCTATAATCAAAAGAAATGCCAAGTATTAAACAGATTGTGAGAATAAACTGAACTTTCATACGTTGCTGGTAGGGAGTGTTAATTTAGTACAATGCTTTTGGAAAATGGGTTGGTTTGGCTGTTTCTTACAAAGGTGTAACATAGATTTACCATAATAACTGAGCACTTCTGTTCTTGTGTATCTACACAAGAGAAAATAAAACAAAATGTCCACCAAAGATTTTATGAATAATATTCATAGCAACGTTATTTTTTCCAATAATAGCCAAGAAGTAGAAAAAATCCAAGATGCCCATCAATGGATAACAAAATGGTGATATGATTCCACAATAGAATACTATTAAGTTAGATTAGATAGGTTATTTTCCTATCAATAAAGACTTATCCTGGCAGGCACAGTGGCTCATGCCTATAATCCTAGCACTTTGGGGAGGCCAAGGAAGGTTAGTGGCTTGGAGGCAAGAGTTACAAAGACCAGCCTGAGCAGGAGTGAGATTCTGCCTCTTAACAAACAAATTGAAATTAGCCCAGGCATGGTGGCATACAACCTATAGTCCAGCTTACTTGGGCAGCTGAGGCAAGAGGATCATTTGAACCTAGGAATTTTAAGTTTCAGTGAGCTATGGTGATGCCACTGCCAACTCCTGCCAGGGTGACAGAGCAAGACCGGACGTTAAAAAAATAAAACTTTGCTCTTTCCGTTGCTTAGGCCAGCCATGCACGGTCCCCAAGAGAGCATTGAAGTGTGTAGCAGCTCCAAGCATTGGAATGCTGGATAAGCTTGACCACGGTGTGTTTGCTCCTCGTCCATCCACTGGTCCCCACACGCTGAGAGATGGTTCCACTCTCATTTTCGCTAAGAAACCAGGCTTAAGTATGGCCTGACAGGAGATGGAAGTGAAGAAGATTCTGCCATGGCAGCGCTTCATTAAAATTGATGGCAAGGGTCACCGAACTGATATTAGACCTACCCTGGCGCGAATTTAGGATTGTCAAATCAGCATTGACAAGACTGGAGAGAATTTCCGTCTGTGATTTATGACACCAAGGGTCGCTTTGCCTGTTCATCTATCACACCTGGTGAGGAGCGCCAAGTACAAGTTGCTGCAAACAGGAAAAATCTTTGTGCGGCAAAAGAATCCTTCATCTGGTGACATCATGATGCTCGCCACACATCCGCGCTATCTGATCACTTCATCAAAGTGACATGACACCACTCAAGATTTGTAGGCAGGACTGGCAAGATTACTGATTTCATCCAAGTTTGACACTTGGTAACCTGTGCATGGTGACTGGGAGGCGCTAACTCTGGGAAGGATTGGTGTGCATCCCAACAGAAGACTTCCGGGTCTTTTGAATGTGGTTCAACGTGAAAGAATTTCCAATCGGCACAGCTTTGCCACTCGCGCTTCTCCAACATTTTCGTTATTTGCAAGGCAACAAACCATGGTTTTCTTCTTCCTCGAGGAAAAGGTATCCGCCTCCTGCTGAAGAGAGAGGTAAGAGGACTGGCAGCCAAACAGCAGCAGGTGGGCTGAAATGGTCTCTCATGTTACATTAATAACATGCTTAAAAAAGTTATTTTGTATTAATTAAGATATTACAGTGGGTGAAAAAAATAATAAAAATAAAGACTTACCTAGTTTCTTATAAAGAATCTAATTTTTGATTCTTTCTTGATCAGTTGACAATGCATTAGTTCATAAACCTGTCTGTGTCTGTTTTTTCCAGTTAATCTTATCTTTCCAGTGAAATTATTCTCATTATTTTAAGAGGCTTGAAAATGAAAATATTAAATATGATGAATATCTTATAAAACTTTGATAAAATACTTATGTTTAACATACTTCCCAAAAAGGTTGTAAATAAAAATAGTCCAAGGTATTTTGACTGTCAAAATTTCTATCACAGGCCGGGCGCGGTGGCTCACGCCTGTAATCTAGCACTTTGGGGAGGCCGAGGCGGGCGATTGCTCAAGGTCAGGAGTTCAAAACCAGCCTGAGCGAGACCCCGTCTCTACCAAAATAGAAATAAATTAATATGACCAACTAAAATATATATTACAAAAAATTAGCCAGGCATGGTGGCGCATGCCTGTAGTCCCAGCTACTCGGGAGGCCTGAGGCAGTTAGGATCGCTGAGCCCGCGAGATTGAGGTTGCTGTAGAGCCAGGCTGACGCCACGGCACTCACTCTAGCCTGGGCAACAAAGTGAGACTCGTGTACTCGAGCCCAGGAGTTTGAGGTTGCTGTGAGCTAGGCTGACGCCACGGCACTCACTCTAGCCTGGACAACAAAGTGAGACTCTGTCTCAAAAAAAATAAAAAAATAAAAAAATAAAGATCTTTTGCAGTTTTTGTCTTTTTCCTCCATCAAAAAGGCAGATTTAGGCTCAACATGTTGCATTTGTGTCTCTTTTTACAAATAAAAGCACCAATATAAAATGTATATTTCTGATTTGGGCTCAAAGTCTTACCTCCTCATGTGCATCTCCTTCTCTTGTGACCTCAAAATGTGTGCAAATGTCTCCAGGAATTGCAAGTAGCTACTGGGAGTGATATAATAATGCCGTCTAGTTTCTTGAAAGTATTTTGGGCTCAAGTCTTTTATGCTTTTGTAGATTTGGACACATGTTGGGGCAAGCTTTTCTTTTAAGTTCTGAAGAATAATAATTATTAAGAATTAAGAGAAAGCAATCCAAACATACATAAAAGAGAAAGTTGAATACTGTGAATAAATTGAAATATTTTATCATTTCTGAGATGTGGAGATGCAGAGAAAGGTCCTGCATGAATAGGACCAAGAAAGCACCAGTCTTAATGGTTGGGATGGTGGTGGGGTGGAAGAAGCACTGATATAGCTAATGATTAGTGGCATCCAGACTCATCCTCCTGGGCTTTGCCCTCATTTCTGCTACAGCTGTCTAAGGGTTTAGGGCATAATCATCAATGGCCAAGGGTTTTGTGCCTTTTTTATCCTTTATTTTTTTTTCTTAAAATGGTTATTAATAGCCAGATACTCAAGGAAGTTTCTTTGAGTAAAATAAAGCTACAAACATGTAAGGGTCCAGAGCAGGGGTCCTCAAACTATGGCCTGCAGGCCACATGCAGGTGTTTTTGTCCGTTTGTTTTTTTACTTCAAAATAAGATATATGCAGTGTGCATAGGAATTTGTTCATAGTTTTTTTAAAAACTATAGTCCAATCCTCCAATGGTCTGAGGGACAGTGAACTGGCCCCATGTTAAAAAGTTTGAGGACCCCTGGTCCAGAGGATATATAGGTGGGTAAAATCAGAGTAGAAAGAGTATTGTCTTTGCCTGGCTTGAGAGAGAATTCTGGTTTAGACATAAGCTAGTTCTGAATACCCATCTCCAGTCCACCAAGCCTAGGCAATCACTGGGCACTTTTAACAAAGCTGCATTTTCTTTTTGATTTTACGCTGTCTCTACCTCTCTTGGCCTTTGCTTTCCTTGAACTCTTGGACAAGAAAGGATGCAAGTACCTTTCTAGGTCCCATATTGGGTTTCAGGCTTCTGTACATTTACAACTCCTTTGGTAAACAATTCTTACTCCTTTTCTGTCCACTGAGGCCTGTGGGATCTCCAATGTAGTCAATCTAGAATAGATTCTCACTGACCTGGGGCTCAAATTCTGAGCTAATTCTGTGGTTGTGGCTTGTGCCCTTATTTCTCTGTAGTGTTGCTGTTGTGGCCAAGAGAAACTTACAAAGAACACACAGAAGGTTGCAGCACCCTCACCACAGAGTTCAGTTTGCAAAATGGAACTTGTTTTCCTTCATGGAAATCTCCTGTTCACTGTGGAGGCAGAATAGTGAAGAGGGCCAGGCAGTGAGGAATCTGGGCATCTTTGAAATCGGGTGAATTAGGGAGCAAAACAAATGGGGAATTGATAAGGAGTCAAGACAAATACTTGACACACTTCATAATTTGGCTTAGAGATACCTGTTTTTGCCCACTTAGTGTTCATTGCTGTTCTGAGGCATGGTACTGTTAGATGCTGTTAATAAACTGAAACCTTCATTTGCATTAGATATTTACCTTTCTGTTCTCAAAATTCACATTTTCTCTTAAGAATGAGTTGGCTACGATAAGGAGAGCTTCTTCTGGCCACCTCTTGTACCAATCAATTGTGCAGGAGCTAATCATAGAAGGATATACTCTGCAAATGTGGCGGAAGTTAGGTCCTTCAGGACTCATGATCATAAAAATATGAAGATTTTTATATATTCTCTGAAAGTACAAGTTGTTAAAATGTAATCCACTGCTTTGAAAAATATTATATTAAAAATTCCATTGAAAACTTATTTTAATTCTTTCCTTAATGGGTAGACTATAGACTGATCAATTGTACAGTGATTGCCTGCCATAAATAGAGCCCTTCCAAGGAAACCTACAGTCCCACAGAGCCCTTCTGAGGAAAGTAGCCATGGCTGCTCCATGTGACCCGGCCTTTTGTCTTCAGCTCGATGGACCAGGTAGGGGAAGCACTGGATCTACAATGCCCCTTATATAAATCAACTCTTACGAGGGGGTCTGGTGCTAGAGTTCTGTTCAGTAGGGGATCTTATATCAGATGGTGTTGGGTCAGATCATTTAACTCTTTTCTCTGGGGAAATGTGCATTTAAGACTACAGGAACTCAAAATGAGAAAATGGCCAGATGAATCAGAGCTGAATGAAACAGACTGGCATTATAGGTAGCACCAGATGAGGTGGTAATAAACTCCTACAGCTAAAGGATTACAGTTAAGCAATACTAGATACTACACAATTTTACAGGCCCTAGGCTAAGTGCTAGTTTCTTTGAAATTTGCCTGTATCCCTTTTCCTTGTAGGGCCTGGCAGTGCTGCTGCTGTTCCTGGGTTCTAAGCAGGCCTGGCCATGGGCACAGATTCCTTCTTCCTTATTTCCACATGCCACATTATAATAAATTCATACTACTGAAAGCACCTCAGCAAGTCAGTGTTCCTTTTAACTCAAAGTTCAGCTGTATGAAGTGATGATATCTTTAAGTGTCGAGCAACCTATTTTGCCAAACAAGTATGGTGAAGCTAAAGGAAAACTTAAGGGCAAGATTTTTTCCTTTTTTCCTACTATTTGTCTTTAAAAAATTTATAAAGACAATAAAACTGCTAGATGCAAAACCATGCAATGTGGAAATATTTAAAGTAAAAATGAAAGTACCTCTCTTTGTTTTATCTATCCCTAAAACTCCTACCTAAAGATATCAAATGTTAACAGCTTAAAGTGTGCCTTTATTATTTATTATTATTGTAAGACATGTCAAATCATTTTTGGGAATATCATATAATATAAAAAACTAATTAAATAAATAATTATAATTTATTTCTAACTGGGATCTGGTTTTTTTTGTTGTTGTTTTTGTTTTAAATTCCTGGAGTATACTATTCTACGTATTCCAAACTGGAATTTCTTTGTTCTTCTTTACCACTCATAGTCTAGTGAATAAATAAAATATGCTAACAAGGAATTGGAGTATAACAAGTTATTACGATAAATGCCACCTTCTTTCTATCATGGCATTTTAAAATATAACTCAATTCAAGCATCACTATTCATATCACCGTATTCCCTATCAACTATGAATTCATTTTTGGATTTTTTTATATCATCTTCTTGTGACAGATTACTAAGTATCTGTTGAGTAATGGTAGGTGGTCAGGTTCAATTTTTAAATGACCCTATGAGAGACAAAATCTGGCACCAGAAATAAGGTGACCTTTGGTCTTTCCCCAGTGAACATTTTGGTTTGTATAATCATGGCTATCTACTCACTAAGCCACTGGTCAGTCATCATATCTCAAAGACACAGAAAGCCTAGTTCATTGGTCTAGTAAGTCTATATCTCTCATCAAACCAGTTCTTTCACAGCCACCCTGCTGCTGAGTTCATTCTGAATAGCATCTGCTCTATCTGGCTAATATCTTTCTGTATCCATTGCCTCCACTTCAATTGTAGATCTGTTTAAAGAGATGAAAGACTTCCTGTTTCTTACTTTTCTGGTCTTGTTACCAACATAGCTAAAACAAAAACCTCATTAGTTAGGAAGAAATCTCAGTGTAAGAAATAATCTTGGGATCTTATTTTTCATTTGCTTGCCTCCAGCTCTTATTTTTTTAAACCACTGATGGCCAGTCAGGCTCAGATCCTTTATCTTTTATCTACCTAAGGGTTTGGTGTGTCTGTGGGTAGGGATGGTGGTCATTATTTTAGCTTTAAAACTCATTTAAAGAACTAAAGAAATTATATCCAACTTGGAAATCATGTAGAATTATAAACATGGTCTACTTTTAATATAACATGATAGTTTGATAAAGTCAACCCACAAGAAAGTACCTTTTGAAAGAATGAAAGTAAAGATTGCCTATCATCCGCACGACCAAACTGTTCAGGAAGAGATCTGATCTTTACTGCAATAGAGTCCAACTCCTCATTTTCAAACAAGTCAGGTATTCTCCCCGAATTAATAATGTACTTCAAATCTTCCATAAGTGAGTCCTTTGGTAAAACATATATTTAAGTCAGGAATAAGTAAATTATTCATATATTCTACTCAAATTTACCAAACAGAGAAAGCAATAGTGATTAAGAAGAACTGAGGCTAATTTTTTTTTAAAGCTAAACTCTTAATTCAAACCCACTAAAAATCATTTTTTCTGAGTCAAAATAAGCTTCATTTATCCATCCATTCATTAAAAAATTAGAGAAACATATACTTGGTACTGACAGTATGCCAAACACCTGTGTTAGGCACTGGGGCAGGAGGTAGGGAGGGGTGGGTACAATAATGAACTGCTTTAGGCAGTTCATAGAAGCCTTCAATGTATGGACATTTGTGTTTGAATAGTAGTAGATGAACTAATGTAACTGAAGGATTATTTTAATTTAACCAAGTTCATCTCTATATAGGGCCCCAAATATAATGGGAAAGGTAATAGAGGAGAAAAAGCAGAGAAAGAAACTCTATCAGAAGTTATTATAAAAGTGGTCTGCACAGCAAAGGAAACAGTCAGCAGAGAGAAAAGACAACCTACAGAACTGGAGAAAAATATTTGCAACATACTCACTTGACAGGGGATTAATATTCAGAATATTCAAGGAACTCAAACATCTAAACAGCCAAAAAACCCAAACAATGCAATTGAAAAATGAGCAAATGATTTGAACAGACATTCCTCAAAAGAAGACATATAAATGGCCAACAACTATATGAAAAAATGTTCAACATCACTAATCATCAGGGAAATGCAAACCAAAACCATAATGAGGTTTCGTCTTACCCCACAGGATGGCTTTTATAAAAAACAAAACAAAACAAAACAGCAAATGATGATAAGGATGTGGAGAAAAGAGAACTCTTATACACTACTGGTAGGAATGTACACTAGTACAGCCACTATGGAGAACAGCATGGAGGATCCTCAAAAAACTATGAATCGAATGACCATATGATTCAGCAATCTCACTACTGGAAATTTATCCAAAGGAAAGGAAATCAGCATACTGAAGAGATATCTGTACCCCCATGTATGGTAGCACTGTTCACAGTAGCCAAGAAATGCAATCAACCTAGGTGTCTAAGAACATATAAATGGATAATGTGGTATATATGAAAATGTGGTATATATACCTCATGGAATACTATTCAGCCATAAAAAGAATGAAATCCTGTTATTCATCGGCAACATGGATGGAACTGGATGGCATTATGGTAAGTGAAACAAGCCAGGAACAGAAAAATCCCATGTTCTCACTCATATGTGGAAGCTAAAAAAGTTGATGAAGTATAAGTAAAAAGTAGAGCAGAGATTACTAGAGGCTGGCAAGGGAAAGGGGAAGGGAGAGATGGGGAGAGATTTGATAAAGGATACAAAATTACACCTAGATAGGAGGAATAAGTTGTTAGTGTTCTATAGCACTATAGGATAATTATAGTTAAAAATAATATATTATATAGTTTCATATAGCTAGAAAGAGGATATTGAATGTTCCCAACACAAACAAATGATAAGTGTTTGAGATGATGGATATGCTAATTATCCTAATCTGATCACTATACATTACATGTCTCAGAACATTACTATGTACATCACAGTATGTACAATTATTATGTGTCCATTAAAAAATTAAGCTAGAGATTGGATCAAGATGGCAGATGAGAAACACTGCCAGACAGAGTGTCTCTGCAGAAAAGACAGATTCTAGCAGAAATTAGAAGAAGCAAGAAGATGAGCATACAGCAGACGAGGGTTGGAAGGAGGGGTACCTAAGACCACGGGAGACGCCACAGGAGGAGGTTGCGGGGGAGAACTGGAAGCTGAGACCGCTGGAGCAGCCTGGAGACCAGCGGGAAGGGTAGGTGGATCAGTCACCTTTCCCCTCCCCTGCATCTGAGACTGCTGGTGGGCTCCCCAGCAGGTGGAGAGACCTGAGGACACCAGCCCAAAGACGGCAGCTGTCAGTGAGCGGTAAGCCAATAGCAGACGCAGCACCAGGCTCCCAATTACCTTGGGGCAACTCCCTGTGCACAGATCCCAGCTGCGCAGCAAGAGCCATATTGCCTCATTCTCCCCTCCCCTGACCCTACCTATGGCTTCCCGGAGAGACAATACAGCCAAGAGCTGGAGGCACCTCCAGGGAACAGGACCTTCCCTTTTGGGGCCCTGCAGCTGACTAAGGGGAACTCATACTGTGAGCTTCCTACCCGCCAGTCCTCCCAGGTGCTGCTGGCACGGTGATCCCAGGAGAACGGGGCAGACCCTGAGGCAGAGAGACATAGACCCAGCTTGGGCTCCCTGTGGGTGAATTGGGACTGGCCCTCCTCTCCCTGGTGGGGATATAGTTTGAACTCTGGGGCCCAGAGGTTAGACCTGCAGACCAGATCCTGTGCATCTAGGTCTACCATTCCCAGGGCACAGAAGGGATACACATGAACAGCCTACTGAGGTGTGTGTGCCTTCAGGAGCAGATCAGAGTCCTAGAGGGCAACCTTTCTCCCAAAAGGAGGCCGTACGCCCAGCCCAGGTGGCGTTCCTGTGCAGGGAACCCGCCAGCATCACTATCTGGAGAGGCCCGGTGGCGTGTGGTCTGGCTTGTGGCAGAGGCCCAGGAGTAGCTGTGGAGTTGGGGAGGGTGGAAAGAAGCGAGGCCCGCTCCAGACTGCAGGTCTCAGACAGCCCCACCCCCACACACAGATTTTTTTTGATTGAGTGGGGCCACTCCAGCCCCTCACTGACAGCTGTTCCCAGAAGCAGAGAACAGAACTTAGACCCCTGCTAAAGGCATTGGTGGTGCCTAAGGGCAGGCTTACCCAACCCAGCTCCGCCCAGACCCTCTCCCAGACCAGCCCTCACTGAGGGTAAGAAAAGGACACACCTGGAAGTCCCAGGGCCCCACCGACCACCTGAGGCACTAGAGTGCCTCAAAGAGCTCATAACAGGACACAAAAACAACAGCGTAGCCTGTTCCTCCCAGCAAGCACCATCTACTGACAGGGAGGACATTCTGCACAGCATTTTCACAGCACCTACTGACTCATTATACAGGGAGTGGTTGAATCTCACCCATAGACACCACCTACCGGCTCAGAAACTAAACAAAGCATGTGAATACCCAAACAAAAACCTAAAGAAAAGAAACAACAACTGATCGACATGGGAAGAAATCAGCGAAGGAACTCAGGAAATATGAAGAAACAAACGGAAAACACACCCCCAAAGAGGAGCACCAGCCCCCCAGAAACGGACATCAACCCAAATCAGGCAACCAAAATGACAGAAGACGAATTTCGCATGTGGATCATAAGAACACTCACCGACCTGCAACAACAACTCAATAACCAACACAAAGAAACCACAAAAAGCCTCCAGGACCTAGAAGAAAAGTTCACTAAAGAAATCGACACAATGAACAAAAGTTTAACAGAACTCCTAGAAATGAAGAATCAATTCAGGGAACTACAAAATACAGTGGTGAATCTCAAGAACAGGGTAGATCAAATAGAAGAAAGAATCTCAGAGATTGAAGATAACACCCTCCAACTAAATAAAACCATCACAGAGATAGAGCAGAGAAACAAGAGAAAAGAGCAAAGCCTACAAGAGATGTGG